TCAGGAGGCTAAGCACTGCCCTCTGCTCCCCATCACTGATGACATATAAATTAGTTTTATGTGTTCTATAGCATTGTAGAAATCACAGAAATTTTCACCAAAATAGAAAATAAGAACAGAAACATACTATAAGCACCTTGTATCCCTTAAACAACAATGGCATTTTAATTGGCACCATCTTTCCCAAACAGATATTAGGCCAGACTTTAGGCATAAGTTTACTGATTCAGGTGCTCACATTCCTTTCATGACGTTTGGGAAATTAGTTTCTTACTTTTATTTCTCCTTGCTTCTTTAGTTAATGCTTAAACATGGAGTACCTTTTCTGTACCATATCAAGCCATGTCGTCCTCCAAAATATTTGAGTCCGTGCTGTGCCTATGCTAGCTAGGATTCTGTGCCTTTTATCCTGCCCTTGAAACCCGTGGTAGTGGCAGGATCACAGGGATCCCTAGATTGTAAAGAACTCCTCAGACTCAATCATATGAGTCATCTTCCCACGATGCATTGGTGTCGTGTCACACTGACATCAGTCTCCCTCACATGTCACTCCTGTCTGTTGCTAAGGAGAATAATTTGGCTGGTTTTGAGCTATTTGAAGGGATAAAGATACCTTGAACATGTATAAGAAAGAGAAATTTCCTGGGGCTGGGGATTTAGCTCAGCGGCATAAGCGCCTGCCTTGCAAGCAGGCAGTCGTGAGTTTGATCCCTGGTACCGATAAACACGAAAAAGACAAAAAGAAAAAAAAAAAAAAAAAAGAAATTTCCTGAGAATCTACAAACCATACATAGGGGTGGGAGATGGGCAGTGTTGGTCCTACCCATGATATCCTTAAGCATTCAGTAACCATTCCCTTAACATCCCACCATCATCATCATTAAATTCTCTCAGGCATTTCCAAAACAATTCTTATGCTTGCCAGGAGTCAGGCTCCGTGTAGTACCCAGAATCAGATGAGCACTTCCTCAGATTAACACTAAATAAGTGCTGTTTGCGTGGTCAAGACACCATTTACCTTCTCCTGTCCTTCCTTCTGTAGCACAGCAATGCATTCAGCCTCAGAGTTGTCATTTCTTTAGTGTCTGCAATAGACTGGTCCTGTATGACTCACTCATACACAGGCATGTATGCAAAAGGCTGGCCTTTTCCTGGATTACAAGCCTTGGGCAGTAAGTAACACTACAGATGCAATGAACACTTAGTAGAGCAAAGTCATGGAGGAATGAAAGCTTTGGAGTCACTCACCCAGAGTGAGACTTTAGGTTCTACCACTAACTAGCTGTATAATCCTGGGTAAATTTCATTATTTTTCAGCCACTTTCTTCACCTGAAATATGTGATAGTCATAATGCCTACTTTACAAGGTAGAGATGAGAAGTAAAGCAGCTAATGCATTTAATGGACTTGGTATATCATGACTGGCACACAAAAATCATAAAAATAACACTTGTTATGTTTTTTTATTTATTACAATTATTAAAAGATCAGGATATGACAGAAGAGCAAAAGAGACTGAGCACTGAATATCAAAAAAGCCAGGAGGAGGGAACTGAGAGAAGAGTGTCATAGAAACCAAGGAAAAAGATGCCAGGAAGGAGGGAGATAATGCCAAAGGGCACCCAAAGGCTGGTTTCTTCTGGCGAAAGAATGATTTTCATTCCTTAGTGACCAATGAGACTAAAAAACAGAAGAAAGAAAATAAGACTACAGCTCGAAATGAAGGCTCTCAGTTGCAAAACGCTCTAAAAGTCTCCTTTTAGTTAATCCCACTGGTCTGATCCGATCACACAGACACTCAATTAGAAAAAAAGACATTTCTTGAGTAAAGGAAAAGCAAATGTCACACAAAATGATGTAAAAAGGAATGTTACACCAGGTTAGGGAAATATAATTTTCAGCAACTTCCAGTATACACAATAGAGAGGAGGATAGAGAGAGGGAAGAAAGGTGGGATGGATCAAAAACAAGTTTTCCAGCCAACTCTAGTGAAAAGGAGAGTGGACAGAATGTATTTATTTTTCTACTCTACTTGGTACCAGAGAGGAATGATGACAGCATATTCTGCATCTTTGGGAAAATCATTCAGCAAGTGTTCACAAATTAAAACAGTTACACATAAAACCATTTTCTAAACTGGACTAGATGTTGGGGTCAGAAACTCCCTAAGCATAGATTTAGGGAGGAGGAGGGATAAATTAAGTGATAAAATCTATGCAAGTTGGGAGATGTTGGGAGCTGCTGTAGCTTTTGGGAGCTGACTTGAGTTGCCTCCTTCCTGGGGGTTCAGGAGGTATCCCCTTTGGCTCTAGAGAGATTGAGGGAACTGCCAGGGGTGTAGAGGTGGCCTCTTGACATTTTTTCCCTGGGTAAAAGGTCAGAGGCAGAGAGGCCACCCTCCTGGTGATGAGAGTTAAGGAGGCTGAGGATTAAAGGGAGCATGGAATGCTGGAGGAGGGGAGAGATGAGGGCAGAGCCCAGGAGGCTGAGCCTCCACATTTGCCACCAAGACAGTGCAGCTCCAGGTAGGTGCAGGAGGGCAATCCCACGGTCAGACTGGGTCAGACTGTAGAATCATGAATGGAACAGGAGCAGGAGGCCAAGGAGGAGCTGAAGGGGTACTTCTGAAAAGAGAAGCAGTTCAAGCCAGGTTCTGGGCAAGGCTTCCATTAGCACTTGGTTACCATCCCTGCCTCAAGGCCAAGCACACAGCCTGGGCTCCCTTTGTTCCTACTGAATAGGCTATCAACTACTAGCATAACTAGAACCCTGAAATCTTCTCTGGGAACCCCAGTCTGGGCCATGGTTGGTACAACACAGCCCTGGGTTCTCTGTAAATCCCTGGTATCTGTGATTCTTACCAGGCCTCCTGTCCCAGCTGATCTTCATGTGACTCTCCCTGGCAATAGTGTCCTCAGTCCTGTCCCCTGACCCATACGACTGTACGCTTCTAACATACCAGCTCCCACTGCTGCAAACTCTATCCTTCCAGCTGTATGGAACCCTTATTTCCTGCTTGACAAACTCAGATGGACACATTCTCTGCCCTTCCGCCTTACATCAATCACACCACACCCATGTCCCACTTGCAAAAATAGGAACGCATGCACCTACAGGAGACATAGGGACCCTAAAGGCCTAAAGTCACATGCATATTTTATCCCCCTTCAGTTTGACACCAGAAAATGGAACAAAGGGCAGGTTTCAGGGAAGCTCACTCTCCTTTCCCTCCTCTTTGAATGCTCTCCATTCTCCAAAAATGGTATGTGGTATAATCAAAAACTAAAATGAATGTTTAACTTTCTAAAAACTGTATTATAGTAAAAGATACATTACCATTAATCCCCCTCAAAATACATCATCTTGATTTCAACACATTTATCCAATAATTTTTGCCACTTTTTGAAATAGTCTTGGAAGTTTTCTTTTGTGAGTGTCTTTACAAGCTGTGATCTTAAAAACACTGTGAATACTGCTGCCAACAGTCATCCATAAGAAAGAAAGACAGGCTTGTGAAAGGTGTGTCCTCCACTGCCTTATTCACTAAATATGGCACTGTGCAACTTTTGACTCTTTCCCAACATCAAAATGACTGTGAAAGGTAAACATTTTGAATTGATTCAAGACATTGAGGCAGTTGGGATAATGCTACTAAACACATGAAAGAAAGCTTCCAGAAGGTGCTTCACAAAGTGGCAAGCACAATGGGATAAGCGTGTTCAAATTGAAGGCATGTATTTTGAGGAAGATTAATGGCAATTCATCTTTTACTGTAACAACATTTTTAAAAACATTAACCATATAGAACATATTTTGATCAAGCCTCATAGGGCTTCCTGGCTTTCTGATTCCCACGTTCTTTCCTGTGTCCTGGCAACTAGATCGGATTTCCTCCCTCCCTATGAAGGGATTCGAGTGGAGGTGAGATTGGGTTGGAATGAGGTTAGTTTGGCATGTATAGTAGCATGTAGCATCAGAATTTACAGGACAAGGCTTGAGCATTTTCAGGCCCTGGGCCCACTGATGCCGAGCTCCAGGAATAGCTGCTCTCTGTCTCTCTTTTTTTTTTTTTTTTATTTAAGAGGAAAAAGAGAAAAACACAAAACAAAACAAAGTGGTGTAAGGGTACACGTAATACAGAACTACAAAAAAACAAAACAAAACAAAACAAAAAAAAAAACATAACAGTAAGAAATCACCTGTTAGTAGATTACATATTATCATCTTGAAAATAGTTGCTCAAATCACAGTATCAAAGAATACAAGGTGGACATTCAAACAGGGAGACTGCAAACAGCTGTGTTCAATGATCCAAAAACATTGATATAGTCAGCTATTTAACACCCCTAAACACACTTGCTGTTATATCCGTTAGAGCTCTTTTTCTTTTTTTTTTCCCCTCTCTTTTTTACAACAAAATTTACACATTTTGGATTTTATTACTCCTTAGTGCTTATTACTTTTTTTTGGGGGGGTGAGAATACAGTCAAATATGGCAAAACAAAGCTGTCAGTCAATACCAAGGATAGACTCTTTTTTTAATCAGGGAAGAGGAAGAGAACACTTATTGTCGCCAGGTTGCTGATCAGAAGGAGCAGCACCAATCTAAGGAATCCACACAGAAGGGGGCCAGCTTCCCCTCTCCAGTGTGAACAGGAATGGAAAACCCTGGAATCTCCATGCTGAGCTATTATGCCAGCACCGGAGTGACTTCTTCTCCATCAGACTCTTCTGGATACTTTGAGAAGAAAGCATGGGCTAGTAGCAATTAGTACAGGTCACGATTTGGATTAATGATGTAGGGGACAAGTCAGTTGTAGGAAAAGGACCCTTTACCTTTGGGGAATATTTCAACCCATTTCTTTCTTCTTTTCCTCATCTGCAAAATGAGGTTGACAAAAAACTCCACCTCAGAGTATGATTCCATTTTATAGTTTTTCATTATATTTTTCTTATTTATTTCTTTTACTTATTCCTAAAATACTATCATGAAACATTAATTAGATGTTGATATATAGATATATATTTATTGACATAGAAGCTCACAACATTTTTTGTTTAGTGAAAAAATACAGCATATACAACATCACTTATATTGATCTTTTTTATCTGTACATATATCTATCTGGCACACAGATTTAGGGAAAACTCTGGAACATTCACCAAAGGGCTGACAATGGTTATATAAGGGTAGAAAGTTTTGAGTAACTTGTACTTTACTTTTCATATTTTCTGTATTATTTGAAGATTTAACAATGCATTATATAACACTTTCACAAAGAGAATAAAGCCACTGAAGAAATGGGCACACACAGAAAATAGACTCTTCAGCAGTGTTGAGACAAAAGACAGAGGTCCATCCTTCCCCTTCCACCATACTGGAATGCCAGATCCCTTCTTTGATCCCTCCACCCCCAAAGAAAGCTGTTTTGCAGATTAATTCATGCAATTAAAAGTCCCCTTTCCCCAGTTTTATCATCATTGAACTCTGGGTATAAGTAAGGGGGTTCATTGAAGGCTGGGGGCTAGCACCTTACTGTAGCTCAAAGGGGTCATTCAATGCATAAGGGGCCTCTCTTGACCCCTCCTCTTCCTCCTCTGTATGTGTCAGCTCCTGCAGAGTGATGATGAGATTCTCAAAAACCTGGGCTTTGTTGCTCTCGTTGTCACAGGTTTCTTTTGAGTGGCCCTCCTCCCCACAATAAGAACAGTACATTGGATGTTTTCGTTTCTTGCCTCTACACATATCCCCCGAACCATTATTCTTATACCCAAAATCACCACTGGCAGAAAGAAACTGACCCTCGGCACTGTTGGGAGAATCAATGACTAGCACTTGATCCTGAGATCTGGCCCTGTCTCTCAGTGGTAAGGCATCAGAGAATGACAGTGGAGGGTCCTCAGGCTCCACCAGGATCACATCCTCGTCTGAGTCATCAAGGGTATCATCTATCTCTATCACGTTGCAGTCCACACTGTCAGTAGCCATTGGCAGGGAGCTCTGAAATTCCACAGGGCTGGTTGCTCTCTCCATTATGGATTCAGATCTTTTGGGGCGCTTCCGCTTAATAAAAGTGTCATCCCAATCCTCTTCCTCCCTTATCATCCTGATTAATTCCAGGAAATTGGGAAGCCTCTCCTGCTCATTTGCATATATTCTCAGAAGATGCTTAAGCCTGAAGTGCAGGTCTCTATTTAGTTCAGCCCCTACCAGGAGCTGGTGCAGGCGAGTCTGGTTTGCATCTTTCTCAGCTAGGACGCCTGCCTGAATAGCATTCTGGAGCTGCACCTCTAAGCGGATCACATAAAGGGAAGCTTTCTCCCCTTGTGCCTGCAGGGTGTTAAAAAATTTACCATGCGCAGTCACACGGCTCTCAGACTCCCCAAACACCAGTTTCATTGCCCGTAAAAAATCTGCCACACTTAGGTTGGGGTTGGCAGCCTGCAGCAAACGCATGACCTCCCGGGCAGGGCCCCTAAGAGTTTTCATCAACCGTTTAAGCTTCTCCTCCTCAGACATATTCCAATCTGGCAGGACCCCATTGACTTGGATCAGCCAGTTTTCAAAGGTTTCTTCCCCATAGGCTGGCACTGCCCTCCCAGAGAAGAGTTTCATGTTTCTCTCTACTATGTTTGCCATCAAAGGACCAAGACTCCTCCCCAGGGACCTCAGCATGGAATGGGCCCAAGGTGGCAAGGATGTGTTTTGCCTCCGGCTATTACTCACACAGGCAAGGATGCTAGCCATGCCTGAGAACGATAGGATATCTGAAAACAGGAAGATGCTCAGGTTTTTTAGGGGGGAAAAGCGTAATCAACAGGTGTGCAGCAGGCTCAACCTTCTTCCTATTTCAGTAGAGACTGTAAAAAAAAAAAAAAGGGAAAAAAGGGGGTAATTAATAAGGGAGCAGGTTGTAGCCACATTCTCTCCCTACCCCAAGAGTGCCTTCATTAGATTGTATATCTGCCCACTGCCTTAATACGCAGGAGACTAGCAATTACAGCATCCTGGAGCTAGCCAAGGTTCTCTTGCTAGCAGGGTGTTTTTTGCAGCTGGTCCTCCAAGAGGGACAGCAACTGTTGCTTTGAATTCTAGGCTTAACAGTGTGTGGAGTTTATAATGGGGCTATCAAAATAGGGCACAGGATCACAGATTTATGAATGTAAAATAAGATCTCATTCCCTTTATCTGTGGTCTCAGGCATACCCCCTTCTCAATACCTGCGCCTTCCCTCTCCCTGACCCCCCCTTATTTCTCCGATTCTTATACAAGCTCAGAAATAGAAGCACACCTTTATTTTATTTCCAGCCTCTGCAACCGGTGCCCTCAGTGAGAAAGCTTGTCTCAGTGCTATCGTCGGACTGGGTCCACAGAGGGTCGCACGCAGATCCGGGTACTCAGGGCATCAAAACTGCGCCATAGGAGAAGAGGGCAGAGAAAAGAAGGTTCCAAAGCAGCCTCAAGCATAATCCCGCTACTCTTCTTCCTCCCACCGCCTCCCCTCTCACCAAGAGGAAATTGCCCTCTCCCACCTGGTGAATAAAAAGCCAAAATGACCCCCACACCCATGCGTTCAGTTCTCCCCAGGAGGCCATCAGCCTACCCAGCTCTGCGAACAGCTGCACGGAATTCAAGTTCACATTCGGCTTTGAGGGACTGCCGCCCAGAAAAGGGACAGCATTTAGACACACCCACCTACTCCAAAGGAGTTCAAGCGGGCGCGATTCCTTCTCCCTTCGCCTCAAGTAGCCCCCTCCCCCTCTCCAATCCAGGCAAATCCTACCAACAGGCAAAGTTCAGGTGAACCCTAACCTCTTCGGCCCAGCTGGGCCAAGGAAATGCTCTTTCCCCAGCCTCGAAATCAGATTTTCCAAGCCAGAGCCACCCTGCACTGTCCGGGTTTATCCCTTTCCCTTTGCGCACCAGGGAATCACATTCCTTTTCTTTACCTAGGCTGGTGGGCAGTGGATGCTCTGGCGTCGACAGCTATGGATTGCTCCTTCTGGTCGCTGCAGCCCTACAGAGGAAGAGGACGGGCGCAGACTCGGCCGCTAGCTACCCAAGGTTGCCAGGTGGAGCCGCAGATCAAGGCCGCCTAGTACAGCGCAGCAAAGGGGTGGCAGCAAGGCTCCTTAGGCAGTGAAAGCTGCTTTTATCTGCTGCCTTCTTCCCCTTAACAAAAAAGCATGACGAGCGGGTCAAGACGGCCAATCAGCGGAGCCGGGGGGCGGGCTCCCGTCGCTGCCAAGGAGCCAGCTGAAGCTGGAGGAGCCAGAACGTGCGGCTGGTAGATGGGGCATCAAAAGCAGCTCGGTCTGGAGGAAGGAGCTGGTTTGCAATTCACCCTAGAGTTTGCAACTGTCTCTCCTTCCCTCCGTTGTTTCATTCTCCCTCTTTCCCTCTCGCCTCTTTTTCTTCTCCCTTTTCCCTTTGGTTCAACCCAGTGACTGGAGGCCAGGTGCATTGATCAAGAGCTGGGACCAAAAACAAGTGAAACAGTGGAAGTTCTTCAGCTTTGCATAAGGGGAAAGAGAGAGCCTTAGTACTATCTTTGTGCAAATAGGCTTCCATGGACATCTCTGCTATTGTGACGGAAGGGGCAGTGTGTAAAATTAACAGAGAGAAGATTTAGAGCACCGTAATTTATCCAGTAATCACTCAACTAAGAGTGCAAAACTGGTTGCCTCAGGGTTATTTGTGAGAGCTAGTTAGAAATTCAGATTCCTGGGCCCTATTGCTAGGAAACTTTCTCTGAGGTGTAGAGAGATTAGTGAAGGGTAGATGGGCCTGATTCCATTATATCTGTACACATTGAGGTGGGTGCGTGAGCAATGATATAGGAATCCAAGCAGCCAAACTGATAAATTTGAAATTTAATTAACTGAGCTCAGGACCACTCTTATATCGACCCCTCCCCCAGCTTCAGGGTCCAAACAAGTGGCACAGAACTGGAAAGTTACAGAGCTTTTAAAACAGAGAATCACAAAACATATCCTGTTGGAAACAATTTAGCTTGAATCTTTCATTAATTTTTGGTTGACACCTGTATCCTGCTTCTTTTGTTGAGCAAGTTAATTTTTCTCTTGTGAGTAGAGCTCATTCTGCTGTTTTCATGGGACTTAGACCCTGAGTAATTTTTTATTTTCCTGAGTCAAATACAGGGTGCTAGTTAAATGCAGGGCTTAACATGGCATCAATTATGCCAAGCTACAACACACATCAGTGGTGAAATGCCACTCCTAAGGAGCTGTACTTAGCTAGGGCCATAATCTGCCTGAGACTGTGTGGTATGATTTTGGACTCTATAGAAGGTTTATTATTGGTCACTCCAATATTCAAAAGGTCTTCACAGATGTGATGAAATGAAGGCTGTTGACTTAAAGAAATTATCCTTATGAGCCCTAAATCCACACCCTGGTTTCTAAGCAGAATCTTGTTCTGCATTTAATTGGCTCCATCACCAAATCCAGTCCTGTGTTGTGGGGACTGATAGCATTACAAAAACAGAGACTAGGTCTCAGAAGCCTGGCAACACGTGTTGACTGTGTAATGGTGCCTTGGTTGGGTCATCAGAACAAAACCAAGGCCTTCATGTAATGTTTGGAGAAGCATTTGCTAAACTAGCTCAAGCAGGATACAGAGGATGCCTTATTCCTGGTCTTATGTTGCAAGACAGGGATTTGGGCTTTCCAGTTGTGAGAATTGTTGCTCTGGTAAGGAGGTCCCATTTTATTTTCTGATTATAAAAATTAAACCTTAAAAGCCTATAAGTTAAGAGCCAAAGATCTCAGTTGAAACAGTAACTACCTTTGGCTGCCTTCTTCCTCTGCGCCAGGAGTTTTCCACCACTTATCTTATTTAGGGACCTCAGCAACCCTATTGAGATAAGCATTCTTATGCTAGTGAAGTGAGTGCAAACTGGCTTATTATACTAGGATTTTGACCCTTCTGAAGTCAAAGCCTGGATGGGGGTACACATAGCCCCCACCTTACCTATGTTATCTGATAGCCCAAGGGCAGGATTGTGCATAGAAATAGTCAAAAGCAGAGCGGATATATTTGTAGACTGACGAGAACTAAGAGAGTTTATCACCAGCAGATTGAATTACTGGAAATTGAGGATCTACTTCAGAAAGAAAACAATATCAGAACTGAATACAGGAAGGAATGAAGGATGGAAGTAGATGGGCAACATAAGTGAACGTTGATGGGAAAAAATCATAAAAATCTGTGTTAGATTTAAAAAAATAAAGTACTGTACAATAAGAAAAGACATCAAGAGGGGCATAAAGAGAATTCAACTTTTCTAAGAATATTGTGTATCATATCAGAAGTAATTTAGGTATTTATGTAATTGTATTGTGGTAATTAATAGGACATGACTGTTAATAGCAACAGGATATAAAATTCCAAATTCCTAGGGAGGAAACAGTTGAACGGTTAACAAAAACTCAGTTTTCTTTCTTTCTTTCTTTCTTTCTTTCTTTCTTTGCTTATGTTTTACTGGAGATTGAACCCAAGGCTTTATGCCTACTAAGCTTGCACTCTACCACAAGCTACGACCCCCACCCTTGCTTAATTGTTTTGTAAGTCAGAAAAAAGAAATTAAAGAGACATAGGTGAGACAAATAAAAACACAAAATAAAATGATAGTTTTAACCTAAGTATAACAATTTTCTTAAGTGTTTTGAGATAAATATTCACGTTAAAAGACAAGTATCCATTTTTCAGTCCTTAGTCATCTTACTGGCTGCTCTTGGTTAGGTGCCATCCTGCACCTAAGGCAGAGAGATGGTGGCCACAAAGAAGATGAAAGTCTCTGGAGTTCATCAATTCTATGACCCAAATTGTTATGAACCGTGGAAACACATGCTGGGGTATAAGCACACTTGGCAGATGATCAGGCAATGCAAAGTGAAATTGGTCATCTTTACCAACAACTGCGCAGTTTTGAGGAAATCTGACATACAGTGCTATGCCAAAACTGGTGCTCATCACTACAGTGGCAATAATATTGAACTGAGTACAACATGTGGAAAATACTACAAAAAGTGCACACACACAAAATCATTGATCCAGGTGATTCTGATACCATTACAAGTATGCCAGAACAGAATGGTGAAAAATAAACCATGAAAATTTTTGCATTAATAAAACTTGTCTGAAAATGTTTTTTAAAAAAATAAGCTGAGTGTGTTGGCACACAGGTTTAATCCCAGAATTTGGGAATCCAAGGAGGGTGATCACCATGAGTTCGAAGCCAGCCTAGGCTGTACAGAGAGAGTTCAAGGCCAGTCTGAACTACATAGCTAGACTCTGCCTCAAAAAATGAACAAAACAAAACATTAAAAACAAATACCAGCAAACATAACTGCATGCTGTTTAAGAGGCAAATACAAAAGATAGACTTATAGTAAAATATTGAGGAAGAGAAATTATTCAATTAATGTATAAAGGATATAAAATACTTTATCCCTGTATTCACATCAAAGAATATATTTTAAAGCAAAGAGCATTATTAGAAATATGCTATTTTATAATGACAAAGGGTTCACTTTTCCAGGAATTTTAACAAATTCACATGATTTTGTATTTACAAAGCTAAGCCTTACACAAATGCAAAATTATCTTACTAAAAGGAGAAATAGGCAAATGTACAAACAGAGTGGAAGGTCTTACCACACTTTTATCAGTATTTGATCAAGAATACAAAAATGTCTCTAAAGATATAGGATTTTTAAAACAATATTAGTAGGTGCCCAGTTAGCGCAATAGGTAGCGCGTCAGTCTCATAAAACAAAATTAGTATGTTGAGTTAATAGCTAATGTAAAGAACACTGCAACCCTACAACTACAGTATATGCATATAGGAGAGCTACAAACTTTGACTATATATTAGGCTAGAAAGAGAATTCAAAACATTTTGAAGAATTAAAGCCTGATCACAATGTAAATAAGTTACAAATCAGTAGGAAAATTTCAGCATGTATAGAAACTAAGACACACATTCAGAAATAAGTGATGGGTCAAAACAGAGTGATCATGGAATTTAAATATATTTTTAGCTGAGCTGGCTGCAGTGCCTAGCATGTGCAGTGGCACACCTTTATTTTCAGTTATTCAGGAGACTGGGATAGGAGGAACATTTGATCACAGGAGTTTGGAACCAGCCTGGACCACACAGTAAGACCCTATTTCAGAAAATTTAGCTGTACGGTAATAATGAAAATACACTTGCCAAAATCTGTGGGAAGCGGCTAAAGCAGTGCTTAAAAGAAAAACTCTTAGCAAAAATGAAGTGCCAAAAGTTAATTAGTTAAGCATTCACCTTCAGATGTAAGAAAATGTGAAAGAAAGCCAAAAAAGCTCAGTAAAAAATTTTAAAATGTTATGATTAACATAAGATTGGAAATTGCTGAAATAGAAACAATGAAAATAACGTGTCAAGAATGAATGTCCTTCAAATATTTATGAAAAAATCCAACAATAGAAGTGCAAAACTCTTAAACTGAAAATCACAAATCACTGCTGAAAGAAATTAAAGGTTTAAACAAAATGAAAGACGTTTCATGTTCATGTGGTAAGAGGCTTAATATTGTTAAGATAAAGACTCTAGAGAACGATCTATAGATTCAGTGTAATTCCTAGCATAATGTCAGTTGACTTCTTTGTATAAATTTACAAGATGATACTAAATTTATATGGAAGCATAGGGGACTGAGAACTGCCAAAACAATCTTGAAAAAGAACAAAGTTGGAGCATTCACAATGGTAACCATTTTTGATCACCTGATATTCTATTTTTACATCATGTACTATGCCCACCCTTCTGTTCTAATCGACTCTGTTTTGTTTAGTCACGTTTGGTTTTATTCTCTTCAAAAAAATTAATAAGAACTGTGGGAGTAAAAAAACCCAATAAGTGTAATTGTTATTGTAAAAAAGAGAGGAAAGGAAGGTGGTCTAAGGGTTATAACTGCATGTATGAGTGTGTAGAATGGAAAACCATATTACTGAGCTTTTGTTGGATCATTGAACGGAACTATCTGCAATCTCACTGTATGAATGTCTACTTTATATGCTTTAATTTTATAATTTGGACAACTGTTTCTAAGATGACAATATGTAACCTATTAACTAGTGATTTCTTACTGTATATTTTTTCTTGAAATTCTGTATTACTTGTA